GGCCCCACAAACCTTCACTCTTGCCCAGGACTGCCTCCAAGCCCACAGAAGGGGCCCAAGAGGCCGCCAAGATTGCCCCACGAGGGGAAACACGAACCGACAGTTCGAACACTCCACCTCACGATGGCCTCCGAGACCGCCGCGAGGCGCCAAGAGGCTCATGAGAGACCCCTACGAGACCCCCAGGAGATCCCCAGGGGACCCCAACAGGCATCCAAGAGGCCTCCAGGCATCTGAGGAGGCCACGGGTCCACAAACCACGCGCGGCGGCGGGTTGGGCCGACGGCCACTGGATCGGCCGCCCCCTTTCATGCGGCGAGCGAGGGGGGGAAGTGAGAAGGAGAAGGCCTCCTCAGAAGGTGCGGAAGTCCCCTGGCCTTCTGAGAAGTTTTCTGAGCCTTCCCCGAAAACAAAGAAAACGTCTCAGAAGGTGCGAGGGCTTCTGCGAAGACCCGCCGCCTTCTGAGAGGGCCTTCTCCTTCTCATCTCCCCATCTCGCTCGCCGCCGACCTGTGGCTTGCAACAGGGGTGCACGGCGTGCTGACGTCTGGGAGTTTTCGGTTCTTTTCGAAAGAACTCCCACCGGGGCTTCGGCCTAACCCGCTGGCCACCCGAAAAGCTCTGGGCGGCACCCCATCACGCCAACTGCTTCGCTCAAGAGGGCCTCAAGAAGGTCTCCAAGATGGACTCAAGATGGCCTCCAAGACGGCTACGATGGCCCCAAGAGAGTCCAAGATGGCGCCAAGAAGGCCTCCAAGACGCTCCCAAGATGCGGCCAAGACCGCCAAGATGATCCAAGAGAGCCCAAGACGGCCCAACAAGCGCCCAAGACGGCCCCGAAGATGGCACAGGAGGTCTCCAAGAGGTCCTCCAGGCAGGCTCCAAGATGCCAACATCGTTGATGTTCCTTGGGTGTTTGACTGATTTTGACATTTGCTTGAAAACTTCCTTACGACTGCCCAAGAAACCCCCAAGATTGCCCCAAGAGGCCTCCACGACGGTCCCAGGACGGCCAAACCGGCTCCAAAGACGGCCAAAGAGGCCCTTAAGAAGCCCCCAAAGGCCCCCAAGAGGCCCAACGAGGCCCCCCAAAGGCCTCCAAGAGACCCCCAGACAGCTCCCAGGAGGCTCCAAGAATTCGCCAGCCCAAGGGGCCAGAGGCATGCTAAGATCTCCGGTGACTGCTTTACAATCTTTCTACTTCTCGCGCGCGGGGCGGCCCCTGGGGTCCCCAAGCGAAAAGTACCCCGAGACGGTCCCGGCAGACTTCCGGCAGACTCGATTCAGAGATGGTTTTCCTCATGGGCGCCGCCCTCGAATCCCACCAGCCCTTTGGGCGTGAGTGGTTTAGGGAGCCCTCTCTGTCCTCAACCCCCCTTCTTCCCCTCCGGGGAGGGGTTTACCCCTCCCCCTACCCCCTCCCCCTGGGCCTGGACAGGGAGTCCAGGGCGTAGTCAGGGAGGTCTTTTTCGACTCCTGGGAGGGCTAAAAAACGATGACCCTCACGAGGATTCTGGCCCCGTCGGGGGGATACAGTTTGGCCCCTCTGTTCTTCTTGGAAGCCAAAATCATTGATTTTACTATGGTTTTGGCCCCATTTTGGTCTCCTGAGGGGGCCGCGCTCATCTTCCTTCATAGCAAAATCATTGATGTTACGAAGGTTTTGGGCTCATTTTGTCCTTCTCAGGGGGCAGCGCTCCTTTGCGCTTCAGAGGAGGTCGCAAGAGGCCCCAAGATGGCCCCAAGAGGCCCCCAGGAGCCTCCCAAGAGGCCTCCAAGATGTCCCCAATAGGCCCCCAAGAGGCCCCAAGAGCCCCCCAAGAGGCCCCCAAGAGGCCCCCTGAGGCCCCACGAGGCCCCCCAGAGGCCCCCAAGAGGCCCCCAAGAGGCCCCCAAGAGGCCCCAAGAGGCTCCAAGAGGCCCCCAAGAGGCCCCACGAGGAGCCCGAACGACTCACACCAGGACGAGGGGCCCGAACGACTCACACCACGAAGAGCCCGAACGACTCACACCACAAGGAGGGGCCCGAACGACTCACACCAGGACGAGGCGCCCGAACGACTCACACCACGAGGAGCCCGAACGACTCACACCACGACGCGGGCCCCGAACGACTCACACCACGAGGAGCCCGAACGAGTCACACCAGGAGGAGGGGCCCGAACGACTCACACCAGGATGAGGGGCCCGAACAACTCACACCACGAGAAGCCCGAACGACTCACACCAGGACGAAGAGCCCGAACGACTCACACCACGAAGAGCCCGAACGACTCACACCAGGAAGAAGGGCCCGAACGACTCACACCAGGACGAGAAACCCCAAACGACTCAAATCACGAGGAGCGCTTTCTCTCCCTCCTCCTCCGCCTCGTCCTTCTCCCGCTCCCCCCACAAGGAGGATGTACAAGGAGGCGGGAGGAAGGAGGAACAGGGGAGATATGCGGGGCCAAGCGGACGCACGCCTGAAAAACACGACTGTCGGCATGCTTCGCAAGAGTTGCTGCTGTGAGATGGGCTGGTGGGGATACGCGAAGCGTAAAGAATTCTCCAGAGCCCCAAAAGGCCAAGAGGCGTCCAAGAGGCCCTGAAGATGGTGCAAGAGGTTCCGAGATGCCACAAGATCGCCCCAAGACGCCCGAGATGACCCGAGAGGCCTCCAAGAGCACTCCGAAGAGGGCCCCAAGAGGCAAAATGTTAGGCTTTTCCCTTTGGTTTTGAAAAGATTTGCGCGTTTCCACCTTTTCGGCTTCCCGACGCACCAACACAGCCCAAGAGGCCCCCAAGATCGCCCCAAGAGGGCCCAAGGGGCCCCCAAGAGGGCCCCAAGACGGCCCAAGAGGGCTCAAAGACGGCCCACGAGGTCTCCAAGACGGCCTAAGAGGGCCCCAAGGACGCCCCGAGAGGGGCCCCAGAGGGGGAACACGACACAACATTTCGAGCCCTTGGCCCTGAGAAGCCCCGGGCCCTGAGAAGCCCTCAGGAGGCCCCAAGATGCCCCTGAGAGGCCCCAAGAAGCCCCCAAGAGGCCCTCAGGAGGCCCCCAAGAGGCCCCCAAGAGGCCCCCCCGAGCACCCCCAGGAGGCCCCCCAAATGCCCCCCCGAGCACGCAAGCAAGTGCCAGCGATGCTACAATATGGGCCGGCGGAGTGAGCGAAGCGATTGAATAACCCAATAATCTCCCAAGAGGTCTCCTCATCCTTCTCCTCATTTTTCATGTTCCTCCCTCTCCTCATCTTCCTCATACTTCCTGTCGTGTTCCTTGAAGGGTTTCCACAACGGTTGTGGGACCCCCTGGTCCAAAAGCGCAGCCAAACTTTGCCGAAACGCCTGGCCACATAGGCGTACCCGAAGAGGCAGGGGGCGACAGTGACTCGCCGTAGGCGACTTCGATCCGCCATCCATTCTGCATGCATGAGGGTGCGCGACGTGCAGAACTTTAGACTAGCCCTGTGGGCACTGTCACAGAGTTCCCAGTGGGGTCTCAGCTCGACCCGCTGGTCCCCAGAAGAGAAGGATTCCACTGGCCTGAAACATGGGTGTTCCCTCGAGCATCTCACGACATTGCCAAGATGGCCTCAAGATGTCATCCAACGCAGTCCCCAGGATGCGTTCAGGACGCCCAAGATGGCTCCGAGAGAGTCCAGGATGGTCCCAAGAGGCCTCCAAGACAGCCCCGATGTAGACCTCGGACGGCCCAAGATGGCCTCCAAACGGACGAGGATGCCCCCGACGCGCTCCGTGCTGCTCTGGCACGCGCGCGCGTGCCAGAGGCGCACTGCGCGGGGGGGGGAGGGGGAGGCGGGGCACGGGGGGCGTTGAGAGGGTTGCGGGGGGCGTTGCGCGACAGCCGGGGGGGTTGCAGGGGCGGAGCGCCATGGCCGAGCCAATATAAGCAAGACTCTCCAGATGGCGCCCTCGTCAACAGAGCCACCCCGTGTGCTGACTGCTGCCTCCTGACCGCCCCCTCCCCCCCCCCGGGCCACCGAGTGTGCCTGCTCGTGGTGCTCCTCGGGAAGACTCCCGCTGCTTCCGCCAATCTTGTCCTCCTCTCGCCCACCCCTCCCCCGAGCTCCGGGATGAGGGGGGCGTGCAGGTCCGAAGCCAGAGCCGATACGCACCCACGGCCTGGGGAAACGATGCCACAGGGGGATGTGGAGGGACTTGAGAGCCTCCGGCGCCACTGCCGGTGAAGAGCAGAGCCTCGGGTGCTGGAGCCTCGGAGCCCATGTCGGTGCGGGGCATCTTCCAAGCCGGGTCGGTCCGCGCAGGCCCCTCGGAGCCCGGAGCCTGCGGAGAAAACGCGCCGGAATGGTGGACCGCTGCCCGTCGGATGCCCAGCTCCGGGGAGGAGGGCCAGACTGGCAGTCGCAGCGGCAGCTCCCGTTCCTCGTCGTTCCCATCGAGGTCGATGCTCAAGTTGCTGGTGGTTCTCATCCGCGGCGGTATACCACGCTGTCCAGCCCGCAGCGGCCTCGGGCCACGCGAGGCCAGCGCAGCGGCACGACAATGGACGGGCGATGGGAGGCCGCTGCACGAGAGGCTGTTCGAGCAGCAGTGCACCGGCTGAACTGAATTTACCACACGGACAAAATCTTCCCAGCAAGCCTTCCTATGCGGCAGTTCGCTGACTCATCATTGTGTTATGAGTGAATTGTAATGCCCCCAGGCTGCAACGCTAGGCGGGCAATATGCTATTCAACAAGAGTCGGAGACACACCAAAAACCCACGAACCTGATGCTCGAACCAGAAGCAGAGAAATAACGAATTGGCCAACGAAGGCCCCCGAACCGTGAGTTCGTGCACTCTGCATCGGTAACCTAGGGATTGCAAGCTATGCGGAGCAAGCGAGATGGTGCAATTTGCGTGTAAGGTATATGGCGGTGCACATGATGTGGTGAAATTACTTCCCCAACTCATGAGTTGTTAACTCCATTGCTCGCGCAATCATCTCACCCTCTCACCCGCAACTTGGCTTGCAAAACCCTTGTGGTGGCGATTGCGATGACTGCATGGCCACGGCTCCTGCATCTTTGAAGCCGCGCTGGCGGGCGACCTCGTGCGCAGAACGGCCGACTGGTTTGGCACAAGGGATGCGGCCGCGATGGCGCTTACCGATGGCATCGTCCCAGCGCGTGTCAGAGGCCACGCTGGCGCGCGGGCACTTCAATGCGGGTCGGTGGCTCGGGCGGGCGCGGTATCGTGATGACGTCGGCAAAAGCGGCAACGATGATGATAGCAGCGATGGTGGTGGCGATGATGATGATGGAGATGATGATGACGACGACGATGATGACGACGACGAGGGGGAGGATGATACTGACTACAGCAAGGCTGATGACACCGCCGATGCTGGTGACACCGATGACGGTGATGATGTCCATGACGAAAGTGCTTGAGTGGTCATTGCGGCGACTGCGGCGATTGTGGATGACGATGGCGTGATGCGTCGGCGCTGATGAGGGTGCTGGTGAGGAAGAACACGCGAGCGCGCGGAAATTAAAAAACCCAGGCAAACTCGTTCTTGCACACCACGTGGTTGTTGATACTACGTTGGGGAGATGTATTTTTAAATGCTTCGAAGACCCATAGGTTTGAGAGGATTTCGACACGCTCGCATGGCGGCGCGCGAGTGCAGCCCGCATGGTATCGTGTGATATGGATTTGCTCACTGGGCGAAGGCTGGATCAGAACGGATGCAACGCGTGGTGCGATGAGTATGCGGGTTCTGGGCGAGAATGCAACAACCGTAGTTTCCCGGTGAGTCTCACGCATGCGCGCGGGCAGAACAGTTGCAATAGTGAAGCTGAAAGACCTGGGGGTCTTTGATTTGGTTTGTTGACAACCTTGCGACACTGGTGTGGTTGGTCTGATTTCGACATGTGCACACATGTGGGCGTTGTGGCCTCTTTTCTGTCAGGGGTTATTGACATATCATCTTTTGCGATAAGCGAAAGAGCGCACTGTACTATTTCATAGGGATGACGGGAAAGGGCGGGGGGGGGGCGGCAGCCAGCCAGCTTGGGATGGTGTAAACTCACCTAGAACAGAAACAACGGGACAGACTCGTACGCAATTTGCAAACCCCATAGGGAGACCGATAAGTCCAGGGGGAGAGAGTGGTATAGCCGATGCTTCTTTCGAATGGAGAATCAACGTAACAGAAGCTACATGTTGCAAGCGAGCTATGCGAGGAAGGCAATCCGGCTGTGTGGTACAAGCTACGTGGTGCAACCTATGTGGAGTGAGCTGAGTAGTAAGCGCTATCCGGCCGGTTCAAGCTACGTGGTGTACCTTCGGTGGCTCAGTCAAAGCGGTACAAGCTATGTGGTGCAATCTGTGTATATCATAAATTTAAGCATACACATATGATCCAGGGTCCAGGCCCCCCCCCCCCCCACACGCACACGCTGATGCCATCGGCCCCCCATCCCCGCGCGCGATGGTCCCCCTCGCTGTGGGCGTGGCGAAGTGTGTCTTCCCCTGTGGGCGTGCGGAGGTGGGCATGGGGTCGGGCCCTCCCCCCACCATCATCAGGGAGGAGGAGGAGAGGGAGGAGGAAGAGGAGGAGGACGACAACATCAGCGTCGGCATCGGCACATGCATCGCCGTCCCAGGCATGACGTAAAACTGCTACACTTGGCGGAGGGGAAATGCCAATCTGTAATCGCGCATCACAGCCGTAATAAGTTCGTGCTGGCCTCTTCCGATGAAATCAAGTGCGCGCTCAATCTGGCGTGCGCCCGCAGGATAAAGCCCTGGCGGAACGAGGTCGTCGTCTTCGTCGTCGTCCTTCCCCCCCATCGCCCCCCCATCTGAGGGGGCCCGAGGGACCCTGAGACCCATCACGTCTGGTGGGGGGCCCGTGGGCCCAGAGCCCCGGATCAGATATAGGTGTGCGCCAGCCCAAATTTCGGCCGATCTGGATCACATTCCATGTGCCGCGGTCGGCGTTCCCGGGGAGGCACGCCGACTTCGGGTGGATCTTGGGCCCGGGGGGGGGGGCTCCAGCCCCTCGTGTTCCCTCGCCCTCGCCCTCCAACGAACAGCTGCGACGTCAAAAAGTAATGCTTGTGCACGAACAAGCATGTGTTTGTAAATGTACAGATGCAGCTAGATGTACGTGTGTGTGTGTGTGTGTGTGTGTGTGGCGCAAGCTGTGCCGTGCAAGCTATGTGGTGCAACATGTGCGGTTCAAGCTGTGTGGCGAGGGCTGCCGGGGCGCAAAACCTGCGCGGGTCAGGCGCCTGCACATGCGGCCAGCGCGCAGGGCGGCGACGAGGTGGAGACGGGCGGCGACCAGGCGAGAACCGAGAAATTTCAGCCAGCGCACGGGGCGGCGACGACGCGGCGACGGGCGCCGACGACGCTGGCCCCGCGCACGGGGCGAACACGAGCCACGAGGCGCCCAGGGAGCGAGGCAGACTGCGAGGACGTAGGGGCCGCACCTGGCGGATGCCGCGGCGTGCCGCCAGATGTTCCGGGGGCCCTGATGGGGAGGAGTGGCCAATGAAGCGAAAGAGAAGCGAAAACACCTGTGTGCAAGCACGCGTTCGGGAAACTGGCTGTGTCACGGCAGGCCAGCTCGAGCATGATATTGCGGCTTGCAGTTATGGCGTGCAGAGAACGTGATCGGCGCTCCCTTCACAGGGAGATGCTTTACGCGTTCTGGTACCACCTCCACGGTCGTGCAGCCGCGAAGCGACAACGTGTGGGTGCGGTAAATTCTCGAGGCTGGCGTTGCTCCGCAGAAGAGGGAGCAGTGACCACCTCCCAGACCACCCCAACCTGACCCGAGGACCCAAATTTCGGGTTGGCGGGGGGCGGGTTGCACATGAGTTTTCTCCATGTTCCCCGACCCCCCCCCTCAGGAAATGGAGGGCAAGTTGAGGCCTGTGGGTTCGGTTGGGGTGGTGAAGCAGGGATCGTGCACTGCTGTTTGGGGCCGCTCCGGCGCCCCCGATCTGGTCGAACCCCGCGCCCCCAGCCCCCGAAACACGCCAACCGCAACAGCTCAGGCCGGTGGCCCTCGGCCAGCGCCTCCTCTTCGCACGACGTAGAGAGATCCCTACCGCAGCTTCGTGTCGTGACGACCCCAGCGCTGGTTTCTGAACCCGCGTGGTCGTTCTTTGGAGGGGACCTAAAGTTAGAAGGGCCACAAACATGAGGCATATGGGGTCTTCTCTGCAGCCGTGTCAGACCAAATGCCCATGATTATGATCCCTCACTCGAAGACGGGGACCTCTGTGAGGCCACGCCTTCACTCTGTTATCCGGGCAAGAGGGGGATCCGGAGGAAGAGGAGGAGGTGGAGGAGGACGATGACGAGGAGAAGGAGGAGGAGGTGGCGGCGCTCCACCTCGAGAGCGCCTGCGGCAAGGCCGCCATCGCGGCGACACCACACCGACCTGCCGCACTCTCACTTTCCGCTTCCCGTGCCGAGCGCCCGCGCGCCCCGCTCCTGCGCGCAACAGTCTGGCTTTGGGGGGCGCGCGCGCGCGCTTGCGGGACAACGCGGCCTGGGCGACCGCTCTGCTGCTTCCCCTGCCGTGTCCGATACAGCACCAGGCAGCTCGCTGCCGCACGGCTGGGCGCCGGCCCCTCCCAGCGGGCAGGCCGCGAGAACCTGGGCGAACGTCGCTCGAGGCTGGCCTGGCTCAGGCCGCCAACGGCCTTCCGCCCTGAGCGCCAGCGCGAGCGTCCGCCTCTGCGCCAGCGCGGCGCGAGCCTTCGAGCGACTACGCAACGCTGCCCAGAGCGCGCCAACGGGCTGCAGAAGGCGGCGAGCGAGCGCGAGACCGCGTACGTTCGGTATCCACTGGACACAACGCTGGCACATGTGATACTATGTGTGCAACACGTCTTGCCAACACTGCAGCGGATACTTGACCATTCTTCTGCATTCGCCACGCCGTTGCGGCACAAACCATGAGGATTGCCTTTCTTATGTTGGATCCGCCAGCGCTAATTCCGATTGTAAAACCTGTGGTGGCCTTGCAAGCACTGGGTGGGGAAATTCCCAAGCTTGCTCGTCAGCGTGCTCTCGTGGCTGCCTTCTCCATCGGTTCGCACTGGAACGTCGTTCGCCGTGCCGAGTGTCCTCGCAAGCATCGCTGGATCTGCGTGGCTGCGGACACCGAGCCCCCCTTTCATCTTCAGCGAAAACGACTCGCGCACACGAACATGTTCGCATTTGTGCCTCAAACTACCTGCGCAGGAATCGACTCCCACCCACCGCCAACAACATGAATGCGTTTTGCCTTAGTTTCAAGATTTGGGATGCCATCGGGGTAAGGGTTCACTTGTCAACCAACCAAACTTAATATGAAGTCATTTTCCATCTCGACACGCTGGACATCTGCGCCTGGAAATATGCACGAGGCTGAACAGCCATAGAATTGAGGAAGAACGATCGCGTGAACTGCTCCTTGAAAGTGGACGTGTGCATGATCGATTTTCGCATTGCCATCCTTCCGTCGCGCAGCCGTCGCAGCCTCGCCCTGGATGCGTTGCGCCCGCCGCCCCCCGCACGAGGTCGCAGCGGCGTGGCGGCGGCGCCGGGCGGGGCCGCATCCCGAAGGCATGGGCTGTGAGGCGGCAGCGCTGCGCCCTGCCGGGTGATCCTTGCTGGTCCGGGCAGGGGCCGGCCGGCCCGCCACACCCTCCGCCGTGCAGGTCGGGGCGCTTCGGGGGGGGGGAAGCAGGACGTGCGCGCGCATCCCCGCCACGGGATCGCGGCCTCCGAGGCCCAGGCTGGCCAGGAGGGCCGGGGGAGGAACGGGGAGGCCGAAGGCGCGGTGACGGGGCCTCCAAGGGAGAGAGCAGCATCGTCCAAGAGGAACGGCGCACGTCAGAGCAGCCCGCTGCGAGATCGTGGCATGAGAGTTGGGCTGGATGAGGGCATCGGCTATGCGCCGGACCCGAAAGTCTCGAAGACCCATCGCGTGATGATGAAGGCAACGTTGCTTCCCATCGTCACTGTCGGGCCTTCGCGACCCACCTCCCCTCCAAAGCATTGAACATGCTCTTTGTCCGTCACTCCTATACCTGTGACTGCCCCCACGTGCTGCTCAACATGCACGTTTTTCAGAGGAAGCGTATATGCTATCTTCACTCTGCGTCTGCGTGTGTGTGTGTGTGTCTCTTTCTCTGTTTTAAGATAGTTCTATTTCTCTCTCTCTCTCTCTCTGCCTATACATCTACACACGTTCCATGCACCATACACGTATGTCAGAGTGAGGGGGCCGAATGGTCTTACACCATCCCTGGGTGAGTGCCTGAAGTGGGCTGCCGCGGTGAGGATGATTCTCCCATCAGCGTTTGCACGTAGGGGTTCTCACTCACTCTGCTCAGACGGTGGGTTGGGTCTCCTGGCTTTTCCCCACGTTGCCGCCCGTGCCGTCTCGTGGACGCTCAGAGCATTGGGGGGGTATGCCGAGGTTGCGCCACGTTGCCCCCCGTGCCGACTTGTGGGCGCCCCGTGGGCACCCCGCGCGCTGGGGAGGCATGCCGAGGTGGCCCCACGCTGCTGCCTCGTGGGCGCCTCGTGGGCGACTCGTGGGCGCTTGGTGGACTTTCCGAGGCTGCGCCACGTGGCCACCTCGTGGCCGCCTCGTGGGCGCTTCGTGCGCACCCCGTGCTCTGAGCTTACACGACATAGCGTTCACCACATAGCTTCCACAAACCTAGCTTACACAACAGATAGCTTGCCCCAAACATATTACACAACACAACATAGCTTACATCACATAGCGTGCACCCCATAGCTTCCACCTCCAATTCACAACGCCTCGCTCACACGACTGACCTTGCAACGCATAGCTTGCCCCGCATATGTTTCACCCTTGCAGATCGTACCACGCTATGTCTACGGCCAAACTTCCAACACATAGCTTACACCGCATAGCTTCCACCTCCACCGTGCACAATAACAGACTGCACACACTGTTCGGGGTCCACGTTGGCTACCATTATTGTTCGTTGTTGTTTGCTGCTGCCGTCGCCCTGGCCCGCAACCCGCCCACGAACCTCCCGCTAGTCGCCCACGACCCACCCGACACCAACAACCCGCCCGCGACCCACCCTTGACCCCATGCGACCCACCCGCGACCCACACACGTTGCTGCGAAGAGCATTCGGCGTCTGCAACGGGCTCGCTGCTCAAACTAGAACACGGAACCTCGCGCGCGCGCGCTTCGCGCTCCTGGGGGGGGGGTGCGACAGGGAAGCGTTCCGTATAAGGAAAACGGGGGGAGGACGAGGACGAGGAGGAGCAGGAAGAGTAGGAGGAGGAGGAGGAGGAGTCGGAGGAGAGGAGGGGAGGAGTCGGAGGAGAGGAGGGGAGGAGGAGGAGGAGGAGGAGGAGGAGGAGGAGGAGGAGGAGGAGGAGGAGGAGGAGGGAGGAGGAGGAGGAGGAGCAGTCCTGGGCCGCGCCCTTGTCCTCCCCGCTCCTCTCAAGTCGCATCGTCCGAGCGGGCGCCTGAGGCCCGACTCGTGGGCCCCGGGAGGCCCAACTAGGAGGGAGAAGAGGGAGAGGGAAGGGGTGGGGGGGAGGGAGGGAGGGAGGAGGGATCGAGGATCGATGGGGATCGAGGTTTTGTAGAGGGAAAAGAACTATGCACATGCACCGATTCTGGCCAGGCCCATCCTGAGCCCAGGATCGGTGCATACGCCCTCCTACCTTGGCCAGGAAGGCATATGCACCGATCCTGGGTCAAAAATGGGCCTTGCCAGGATCGGTGCATGTGCATAGTTCTCTTCGCCCGGTTTTGAACGAGATTCCTTTGGGGGCTCTCAGGAAGCCTCTGGGGGGACCCTCGTGGGAGCCTTCTGCAGCTCTCTGGAGGGGGGCTCTTGGGGCTCTGGGGGGCGTCGTGGGGGCCCTTGGTCGGCGGGCTGGTGGTGCCAGCCCCCGGGGGGGGTCTCTTGGGGCACTCCTGGGGCCTTCTTGGGCCCTCTTGGGGGCCCTCCTGGGGGTCCTCCTGGGCCGTCTTTGCGCCCTCTTCGGCGGTCGTGTGGCGAGTCGTGACCTGGTCCTCGGAGCCAGCGCTGGGACCAGCGTGACCCCCCAGACTTGCTCTCAAGCGTGTCGGCGCGGCCTTGGACGACGTGGCCCGGAGCTGGGGCAGGCGTCCTCCGTCGAATCATCCTGGTCATCCGCCTCAGCGTCAACCTTATCCTCCTTGGACTGCTGATCGTGTAGTAGGGGTTCGACCACAAGAAACCTTCCACAAGAAGCCCAATCCTGAGACCCCAGGACGTCCATTGACTGTTGGTGCGGGAACGTCGCGCTTTCCAGGCCACCCTGGATGCAAGCAGGGTGCTTGCACGTGTCGAAAATGTGTCAGGACAGGGTGGAGTACGATCTCATGAGTATTCTAAGTGATCCTGGGTGGGCACCCAGTGTGGAACGGAAGACATCTATTGCATGAGCCACCGCCTGGACACCCATGACACCCTAGATTAGTTCAATCGTGCAAACTGCTGGCGCACTGGGATCGAACTCCGAGATGCCTCTCGGAGGCATCTTAGAAACAATATTTGGAATCTCCTGGGGGCCTCTTTGGACCCATTGTGGGCATCCGGGGGCTCTCTTGTGGCCCTACTGCGGCCTCTTGGGGGTTTGCTGGCGGCCTCGGGGGTCCTCCTGCGGCGGAAGACTCGAAATTATCTGTTCAAATTCCCACTCTTAGGCTCCTCCTGAGGCCCTCTTGAGCTGTCTTGGGCGCCTTTTGGACCGTCTTGGGGCCCGCTTAGGCCGTTCTGGGGCCCTCCTTGGGCGATCGTGGGGCATCGTGGGCCGTCTTGGACGCTGCCAAATGTCAAAAAACGGATACGCTAACAATGCTAAATTTCTTCGGGAAGTGAAGCGACGTTGGTCCTTTTTTTCATAATTCAATCCAGTCTCATAATTCAAAGGATCGCAAGACCGTAGCAGGACGCTGGAGTTCGCGCTTGAGCGCGGAAAATAGCTCTGGAAAAAATGCACTGGAAGAAATGCACTGGAAAAATGCACTGACAAAATTGAGTACAGCTCTCGAAAAATGCACGGCATTGTGTACAATGCTAAGCGCGGTGGTAAATTATTACGGTTATCGCTTGCCGACTGACGTTGCAAATAGCTCTAACTATTACATGGCGCGGCTAACCAAGGGTGGTTAAGCTCACAACCGCACGCACGAACGAACTGGCGCGGCGGAGGTACGAAAATTGAAACATGCAGCAAGTGGCCCAGCTGAGGCAGCATGCCGAAGACCTCAGGATGAAAGGAGGCAGAAGAAGGGAGAGCCAGACCACGGCGTACAGCACATCACCATACGAAGCTTCTTGGAGGGAGGGTGAGAAAGGAGCACCACTGGTCATAATACCGAGATGGTTCTCGGTGGACCCCGCGGCCGCACCCTCTTTTTTCGAGGAACGTAGCGGACATCATCCAGAATCATCAGCATCTGTGGATCGAGGGACGCGCTGCCGCCCTCGGCCTCCGAGAAGTCAAGCCTTAAGCTCGCGTTCGCATGCACCTCGGAAACTCTTGGAACCATGTGGGGCAGCTTGAGGCGGATCGGGAATTGATCTACGTCCAACTCGATGTCCTGCTCGCCATCCCTGTCTTTATGAGCGTCCATCAGAGCACGGAACGCACCCTGTTCCCAGCTCACAAAGTCCGCATCATTAATGACCCACTGCAGCAGCTCAACGCCCTCGCAAACAGGCCCAACCAAACTCGTGAACTCGGGGGTGCACTTTAATACGCGCAAGCCCAACGCTTTTGGGTCGAGGTGAACAGACTGGAGGTGTCTGGAGGCAATCTTGCTCTGTCTTGGCAAGTCATGGCGATCTTATTGGGGGTATCTTGCTTGGCGCCTGCTTGAGGCCCTCTATGCACGCCTGGACCTTGTTGCGGTTGCAGATGACAGGCTGCCACTGGCCTGGACTCCCGAGAGAAGCCGCAGGGGGTGAGGAAGATACCGGCCAAGAATCGCCCTGGGGCCGAACGAGCGCCCACACTGGCCGAAAGCTGGCCCGGTCCCTGGGGAAAAATGGATTGCACCGTTCCTGGGGGCCTGGACGCCCTCTCTCTGTCCATCTCTTTGTCTGCGTATATATATATATATATATGTACACATGCACAGATCTTATGTATACACATATACATACATAAATGTACACTTGTGCAGATACATGGTAGACATGTGTATCTGTATGTGAAGCCCGTGTACTTAATTCGGCCCCATTTGTATCCACATCGGCGGGGGCCATGATACATATGATGAGCCTGATTGTAGGATCGCCCCCCCGGGTTTCCGCGCACTGGGCTATTACACTCTCGGTGGCCACTCAACGCATGGAAGGCAAGCTACGTGGTGCTCACCCCGTGCTGCGACCTGAGATGCAACTCGCTGTTGCGAAGCTTGAAGTCGTGACCCTCACTGCTCGCGCAAACATCCCACCCAGCTGCCCGTAACTTGCTCGGCAAAATACACTTGGTCGCGATCGCGGTTCCCATGTGGGACTTGCTAGCACAACGCCACGGCCGCGCAGGGGCGCGCAAGATCAAGCGCAGGTCGGACAGCGGGTTTGGCATAACTGACGCGGTCGCGATGACGCCTGGGAGCACCAAGGCACGTCTCCAAGGCCGCTCTGGCGCGCGGGCACTTCGGTGCGGGTCGCTGACTGGGGCGGGCGCGATGTCATGATGACGCCGATAACGGCTGCAACGATGCTGGCAACAGCCATGGCAGTGGCGATGGTGGCGACGAGGACGACGGCAAGGCCAATGACGGCGCCGATGCTAGTGACGGCGATGACGACGATCTGTACATGTGTCGGTGATGAGGGTGATTGTGATGACAATGGCGGCAATGCTGGCAATTGGCGATGACGAAACCGGCGGACGTGCGATGGCGTTGGTGAGGGTGATGGGACCCTGGCAGTCTTAAGTGTGCTTGGACGAATTAAATGTGGAAATGTTTCCTAGCCCTGTGGTTCCAAAAGTGTTTC